ATAAAGCAGTTTGAGATGGAAGGATGAAAAGTGTAATATAAGAGTGTATATATGAGTCACCTCCTGCTCTCTTCGTCATCTTCCCAGGTAACAGGAAAGCAATGAAGCTTTCTTGCCTCTTACAGTAGCCGTGGCTTTTATAGGTAATTCTCTGTATAATCTTGAATGCTCTTCCCCTTTGGTAAATAGAACCCAGCTCTTAAAATGATGAGCTCTTTAAGAATCTTTAAATAAATATGTGCGATAAAATGATTCCTCTAGAGGAACACAGAAGCAAGGAAGGGCAAGTCTTGTGAGCCAGACGTTCAATTTCCAGCAAGGGCCAGCCACATCAAGAATAGAGGCTGTGACCAGAGTAGTTTACAGTTTTTCTGGATCTCTGTGTACCTGTAATCCCCGTGCAGAGTGGGAAAGACCTGGCTAGATTAATGTGGATTTGCAACCAAGACAGACTGCTGCTGGATCACCTTGATCATACAGGGAGAGAGGTGACCCATAACAAAGGAACAAATTGGGGAGAGCCAGCACTATCTGAACTTTGATAATAGGAACCCTTCGGGATTCAGTCTTCCCATAGCTAGGGGTAGTTGCGATGACAGCACAGAGCCAGGTAGAACTGCACAATAATCTGTAGGGAATAATTGACTGAATAGATTTCTTTCTCTTCATAAGAGATTCCCCCCCTCCCCCGATGTATTCACCATTCCAAATTCTTCACTGAACACTTTCCACAAATGATCCTTGGTTGGTAGGGTGTTTTTTGTTTGTTTGCTTGCTCGTTTGTTTGTTTTGCAAGCATTTCATTTAGGGTGTTCAACATTTGAGATATTTTGGCTAGTGCTGACTGGAGGCAGGTCATGTAGCATTGTTTCTGTTCACTGGCTGGATTAGTGTAACCCTTAAAATCCGGTCTGTGGTGGTGGTAAAGTTCCAAACTCACTTTCTGAAAAAAGTCTCTAGTACTGGCTTAAAGCTTACTGCTTAGGTGAATATTTCCGCCAGTCTACTCGCTTGCTACACTATAAATGGAACGTGATGTAGACACAGCTGGGGCAAGCCAGTTATTATCATCTTTAATTCAAGTGTCTATTCCTGTAAGAGATTTGGGGGGAATGTGTCATCTCTGTTGATGAAGTATAAGAAATGTGAGGATGTCACCCAAATTAGGGACGATAAGCGCAGGACAAATACCTCTGTAGGAGGAGGATGGGAGGCAGTCCTGGTCCTGATTGTCTTTCCCACTGATTTCATTGGCTCCACTTGCAGATAATACAAATCAGATTTGACTCTACAATTTTTATGTTGGGGGAATGGGGCAGCTCGGTTTTCTGCACCATGAATGAAGATTTCCCCAGATGGTCTGGACCTGGAAGTCTGTCACAACCCTAATGTAACGGTGTTTGCTACAGTTAAGTGTTTGCAGGATTGACTCTGTAAGCACATGAATAACTCAACTTATGGGAATAGTTCAATCGAACAGTGCTTCCCTGCTCAGGTTTTTACAGGTTTGAGGACATGGCATGAAATATAGAGCAGCAGTTTTCAACCGGGGGGTCTGGGGCTCCCTGGGGGGGCCATGAGCAGGTTTCAGGGGGTCTGCCAAGCAGGGGTGGCATTAGACTTAATGGAACCCAGGGCAGAAAGTTCAAGCCCTGCCATGTAAGCCTGGGTCCCTGAGCCCCACTAGCTGGCGCTGAAGCTGAAGCCTGAGCACTTAGCTTTGTGGGGCTCCCTATGGCCTGGGGCCCCAGGCAATTGCCCTGCTTGCTACCCCCTGATGCTGGCTCTGGCTTTTAATCTACTGGATATACAGAAAAACAGTTGTTGTGGCATCAGGGGGTCATGAAGTTTTTATAGCATGTTGGCGGGGGGGAGAGGGGGGGAGGACTCAGAAAGAAAAAGGACCCCCGATGTAGAGCAAAGTCAGTAAGTTCTGAAAACTCACAATTACGGTAATTACAGTTGCTGGTCAATGAGACGCCACTCTCAAGCCACCTTATATATGTTCTGGGTCTTTCTGTATTTCTATACATGAGTCTTTCGATATTTCACTGATGTGTGGATTGTCTCCGTCCAGTTCTGTTTAAATAGACTTTGAACATCATTTACAATCATATAATTTAATTTTGACGCTGTTTGTAACAAACCCTTAGAAACCAATGTTTTCCTCCATCATATGTGCGCACACGTTTGGTATTGAGGAGGGCTGTCCTTAAGCGCTAGGTTATGGCAGCGTATCTCTTGGGGACGGGGCCCACCTTTTTGCTCTCTGTTTGGACAGCGCCTAGACAGGGACTCCTAAGCACTGGTGCAATAATAACAATGTGTAAGTATGTATCATACATACCATGATGTCATATGAATGAATGAATATGTAGGGAAAAAGTCACTGACATACTCCTTTTGAAAAAGTCACCAAAATAATTGGAGGAACTTCATTAATGGCTGGAGCAAAATTAAGGGGTGGGGTGTCAAATTTTGAGACTGCTATACTGTGTTGGATCCTGCATTCCATAATCAATACACCCCAAACTCCTATTATTATTATTATTTGATTTAATTATTTATTATTTTGTTATTTTTATTACAATAGCATCTAGGAGCCCCAGTTATGAGCCAAGACCCCATTGTGCTAGGTGCTGTACAAACACAGAACAACCACTGGGAATTTTCAGTACTTTGAGAAAGCAGGATTGGGCGTTATTGTTAAATAAAATAGTTATTGTTTTAGAGGGGAAATGAGGGAAAAGTGCACTATTATAACAAAATTTTTCCGAACTCACTTTCACATTGTTTACCAATAGCTTTGTTTTTAAGCTGCTTTCAGGACAAAAGGTAAGAAATCTATGGGATTTTTTTTTCCTTGACAAGTTGAAGGATCCAAAATAACAAATAAATTTAAAAATGCAGTTGGATGGTTATTCCAAGTAAAATATTAGAATATCTCATTATTTTAGTGCACAACTGTGACCAAGTTCATGATCAAAAATGGTTTTTCAGCATAAACCACTTCCTTGTAATTCACCGTCCTTGTCTATAAAAATCCAATCATCTTAAATAATTGAAATGTATTTTTGGGTATTAACCTGTCTTTACAATAACTGCCCTTAGCAGATTTAACAGTATTTACCATGTAATGTATTTATTTAGAATGATATGCACCCCAAAAAAGAATGATTGGCCAGACACTGGAGGTGCCCTGGAAATAATTTAAAAATACATTAAAATCAGGTCCTGATCTTGCAAATACCGATACACATGCAGCCTTGCAAAGCCCAAGCATTAAAATCATGAGACGTGGCTCAAAAATAATCAGATTTTAAAAAATAATAAATTTGTCTTCTGGTTTTTAAATTAACAGTGTATTGGGCTCATGTTTTCGGGCTTTCTGCTGGCTACCATGAGGGCTGAAAATATAACTTTTGTAAATGAAAGCTGAGATTCTCACATAACCACTTACTCCAGGAGCTGAGAATTTAAGGGAAGAAAACAAGAAATGTTTGTGATAAAATCCGTAACAGCTGGCAACACTGCTTACACACTGAGTACCCCGGTTGACTGCAAGGGAACTATTGAGAGTGTATAAGGTTACGCATGTGCCCGAATCCACTGGAGAATTTGGGGTCTTCATATTCAACCATAATTACAGTGCAGCACTACAATCCAATATAACCTTCCACGGATGGAACTCAGAAGCTCAAATCACCTTCTCCCTCCTACAGTTCTCCAGGCTTATAATTTCTCTCATCCTGGTTTTAAAAGCCTGGGGGGAAACGTGAGCTTTGCAACATGCCCTGAAGGTCCTCAGAATTGGGCTTTTCAGACCCAAGTCCAAATGTCTGCTCTGACTTGAAACAAACTTTCACAAGCTCTGCCCTGTCTTGGCCTGCTAGAGCCCAGAGTTGTGAAGCATCTGCTGAGCTATCTATCTCTTTACTCAGGTTTTGGAGAAGGCAGCAGGATCATAGGAGGGCTTAGGAGTAAGGTGTAAGTCTCGCTAGTAATGAAGGGCGAAAATACTTACCATTTTAAAGCTATTGTTGGATGTAATTTGTAACGCACCTTAAAGCTGCAAAGGTCTGGGTCTCAACAAAGGCAGTGTTCTGTGCTGTCACACTCCCAATGATCTTCAGTTCTCTTGGGGATCACTCATTAATGCCGTGTGAAAGGGCATAGAACAGAGGCTAGGTAAAAAGAAAAATGTCCAATTTTCACAAAATTAGAAGTCTTCGCTATCCGCTGTGTTTATGGAGGGAACTCCCATTATGGAACCTGGAGCTCCCCGTTGTTCCTACATATCAAGGAGAGGGATTATTATTACCATTACTACTACTCAGACTTAATGCTTCTGTTGGACCTTTTGTTCAAGGATGATGGATCTCAAAATGCTTTATTAAGCCTTGCAACACCCCTGTGAAGCAAGCAAGTTTTATTTCTATTTTACCTATGAGTAAACTGAGCCACAGACCGAGATTAGGTGGCTAGACAGAGGTGTGAAGTTGGGAATGGAACCTAGAGCTCCGACTCTGTCCCTTGCTTTAACCACTGGACAACATTATCAAATTTACTTTTCATCCAGCTGAGGTTATTCCTGCTGGAAGCGGGATGTGACCGGAAGGCGTAAATTTGTGGATCAAATACTAGAGGGTCAGATTGAGATTAAGGGACTGATCCTGCCCCCTTTGGAGTGAAGGGTCTTCCAGGGCAGCAGGGTGGGATCTGTCCTTGTGCAGGGCTCATGGATAGAGTGATTTTTAAGGAGGCCGACCCATCATCAGTGAAACTGCCCAACTTGGGCAACTGCAAGGAAATCCTGTTGTGGGGTTTGGGATGCCCACCTGTAATGGATTCTGGCTTCCCTCGTGCATTCAAAAGGCCTAATGCTGCCATCCTACTGGTAATAGATTCTTAGCCATCAGCCTGAGGTTTTTGTCATTGGAATAAGCTCACCCTGGGCACCCCCCCTCCCAGACCAAACTCACTGTTTGTTTCCCCTGTAGTGAGGACCCCTGGCGGGCGGCGAAAATGATCAAAGGTTACATGCAGCAGCACAACATCCCCCAGAGGGAGGTGGTGGACGTCACAGGCCTGAATCAGTCTCACCTCTCCCAGCACCTCAACAAGGGGACACCTATGAAAACGCAGAAGCGGGCAGCCCTCTACACCTGGTACGTCCGGAAGCAGAGGGAGATTCTCAGACGTAAGTAGTCTGCTTACTTACAGACTAAGTTCCTTCCGGCCTGGGCGCCGCGGCTCGTTACCGTGCAGATCTGCTCTGAAATTCTGCTCTGCTCGTTACCGTATAGTGGGGCTTCGTGTTTCTATTGATACCTCGGTCCAGTCATGCACACGTTTGGCTTTAAACCCCTGATTTAACAGGGCCACATGGTTCAAATCAAGCACGTGCGTAGTGATTTGCTGCATAGGCATGGATTTACATGCTTAAAATTAACCAAGTGATGAAAATGCTTTGTTGAATCGGGGCTTGAGTCTCTCGGTGGTTTCTGTATCAGATGTTCTCAGTCCATCAATGAAATGAAGCAGGTAGAAAATGAATAATCCCCCCCTTTTTTTCATGCTCAAATCATAGCTTATTGTCTTACTGAGACATTTCATGCCTTGAAGCATGCATAACGTCCTGATTTAGCTGTCCATGTGATCACCACAGCTCCTTGGTAGTGCCATTACTCAAAGGATTATACTGCATTTTTGGTGCTTTGTTTGAAATTTTACTGCATAAAATTAAAAAAAAAAAGAGATGCATCTTAAGTACATGTTTTTTGAAAAAGCCCATAAGAAATACAGTGAAGCCCACTGAGCAGCAACGTTCAACTTCCATGTAGCCCCCATTAAAATCACTTTGAATTGCCCCATGTATGTGTTACAATTAGAACCAGACAAATCATTCATAAGGAACACCTGATTTAGATGACTTTTGCCTCTCTGTCCGCAGCTTCTCACATTTATTCATTTTTCACAAATATGTGGGAAATATTTTCTTCAAATAATCCTTGGTCTGTGGCTTGTTTCTGAACAGTTTGTTGGGAGGATTCTAAACTCAAGCTGATTTGATTGGACACATAAGTCATCTGATATTATTTCTGTTCCCGGATTGCAAGGGTGTGACTCTTAGAATCAAATTTCTGGGGGAGAATACTTGTGCTCTTTGGCCCCAGCTGAGCCTAACTCAAATACCGTGAAGGGTCCCAGCCGCTTCAGTGGGGTTATGCATGTGCCTAACGAAGCACATGACTAAGTATCTTTCTGAATTAGGGCCTCGGAATATTTTTATAACGCTTGCTTAAAACTTGCTGTTGCCCTGGATGTTCCAATCAGTGAACTTATTTGCGGCAGTATTTGTGGGAAATGAACCCTTAAAAAGGGGGATGTGAACACAGCAGAAAAAAATCTGTTTTTTCAGAGATGTGACTACTTGAGGAAATCTTTTTGGGGCAATATTTTCCAGTACTCTAGCTTATTTTCTCTAGCAATATTTTCCAGTACTCCAGTACTTATCATGTTTGCCAGGCTGTTAGGAATCTTCCCCTGGATTCTTAAAGTGGCAATGACAAATGCCTTGGACAAAAATTGTAGTTTTAATATATTGATAGAAATATAGTTGTCAATTTAAAAAAAATCATTGAAATCAGCTGGGTTTTTTTGCCTGAATATAAACATGCCTCTGCAGTGTTTTACAAACCACTGGTTGATTACAGCCTTGTGCTAATGCATGAAAATCAGAAAGTTTAATATATTGGATAATGGAACAAAGAGCAATAATGAGTGTAGGTTTATATGGTGAGACTCACGCTCATGCAGAAGTGCAATTGAGCACACCTTAAGCTTAGGGTTTGTGGGACTTTAAATGGTGCTGAAACTGATGAATTTCACCCACAAAGACTAGGCCTTGCCAGAGAAACTGGTTACTTCGTGATAGAATTAGTCAGCAGGTGATGGGAGCTCAGTGAACATGACATATTTGGATCTTAGTAAAGCATTTGCTACAGCATCTGTGAGAGGCCAGGAACAAAAAATAGAAGCAGGATCGACTGATGAAGTCTGATCCTGATCCCATTGGTGGGATTTGTCATTGAATTCAGTGCGAATGGGAACAGATCCTAGAAGTAAATACGCATAACTTTTAAGTGATCAGAAAGTTGGGGCACATGAATTTGCACATGTTTGAAGGAGGGAGATGATTTTGGGGGTAGCTTGGGGTGATGGGCTGAAATTAAGAAAGAGAACTTTCCTGCGTGGACAGGGCAAGGGACTCGGTGACCTCGTTCTTGACTAGTCTGATGTCCCTGTCGAAACGAAATGAAGTACAAACTAAATGAAGCAAGCAGCCAGCCCAAGTGGTGGAAAGTTAATTAGAATTTTAAAATTCTTTGCTTTAATGATCTAAGGCCAAGTTTGTAGCTGTATATGGAAGGACAATAGTGTTTCCTCCATCATTCCTTTTAAAGGAGTATGGCCCCTTTTAAAACAAAAATCCCTAAAATTCCTGGGTGCTGCATTTCCATGTTTCCTGCAGTGATTCTTAGGCAATGAAGAATGCAGAAAGGTTTCAGGTTGTTCCTGTGGCCTTTTTTAACAATCCAAATCTACAAGGGCCCAATCTCGCTTGTGCCATCGAGTTGAATGGCCCCACAAACCTCGACTTTACTCATGTAATTAGTCCTTTCTTCTGCAATTCATCTCATTGAATCCAACTGGGGCTATCCACGTGAGTCAAGGTTTGCCGGGGTTGAGCCCTAAACTGTGTCTTAACAAGTAGTTCAGCACTTGTCCTCCCAACGGGATGGAGTATCGGTCTATTTCAGGAAGATACGGAGTCCAGAAAGTCTTTCAAACTGAATGTCATTGCTTTGAAAATCCACCTAGAGGGAAAAAATACCAACCTCCTGCTCCAACCTTGGCCTCTGTTTTTCTGCTTCTCTTGTTGTTGTCCCAAGGGAAAAGCTATTATAAAAAGAGGGAGAATTTCCCTGCAAAACCGAGAATAATAAAACCGGCCATCAATCTCCCTTTACTGCTGCGCTGACAGGCCCCAGCTCTGTGGCAGGCAGGCATGGAAGGTCACCCGTTCTCCTCATGCCTCTGCTGAGCTGCATTGCCCAAGGTGTTCGGTTTTGGAAATGGCGATCCCGCTGCATACATGGGTTGATTTAAGCTTCCTTATTGCTGTAGGAGTGTGTGTGTGTTTCCCATTAATTTGAAATGGAGCTGTATCAAAGGAGGGGAGTTCTTTAGGAACAAAGAGAGGCAGAATTCGGGGGGGATCTTTGAAGTCTGACTGCCTAACTCATAATGTATTAGTCTAAGTTCACAGAATCCCCCACCCCCGAACAAGTACACGGCAGGCACAGAAAGCCAGGCCATGAATATGTATGGCCTGCATATGACTTCTCATTAAGGGAGCTGCCACACAGCTCAGTGAGGCTCATACATATCCATAATAATTTTAGAACATGCATCTGCGGCTGTGTCTTGGCATAGGCATGGGAAGGCATTTCGCAGATTAGCTGCAGTCGCAAGATGGAGAGGTGAAGCTCAGAGAAAAGCCACATATTCGGGAAAGCTGGACCTGTGCCCTATGGAACCTTCTCTGAACTGCCAAAAATTCTGAACTTCCCACCCGCAGTCGTTGGTCATTGTCTTGGGACTCTGCACTTCCAGGTCCCAGCTTGGTGCAGAGGGGAGAGAACCTGGTCTCATAAGATTTCCAGCCTGGCTTTGCAAACTTAAGAGATTTGCACAGAGAATCTTCCAAATCCTTGGATGCGTTCTCTGAACTTTGAATGGAACAACTGACCCTTTCAGATTAGCCCATGGCTACTTGATTATAACTGCATACTTGTAGCATCTTGAGGCCTTGACGTGGGGCTGGTCTACACAATGTTAGGTCGGCCTAACTACATTGCTCAGAGCAGTGAAAAATGTCACACGCTGTGCGATGTAATTAAACTGAGCTATGCTTCAGTGTAGACACTGCTGGGTAGACTGAAGAATTCTTCCATCCACCTAGCTACTGCTTCTCGGAGGGGTGGATTTACTACAACAATGGAAGAACCCCTACACCTAGTAAGAGACAGTCCCTGCCCTGGAGAGCTCACCCTCAAGACAGACAAATGGTGGGCGCTGGGGGAACTGAGGCACAGAGAAACTGAGTGACTTATCCAAGATTGCCCTTGGCACCTTTCTCTCGAGTTGATATCTGCTCCATTTTGAGAAGTTGGCTATTTATTTTTTATGCAACTGAGCCCCTCTGAAACATTACTGAACAGATTCACAGCACCCTGCTGAGAGAAGAAACTGAGGCACAGATAAGGGGAGTGACTAGCCCAATTGCCAGCCTTCCTTGAATGTGTCCTAACCACAAGCCATTCCCTATCTCCCCCTTCCCACCAGGGTAATAATCTGTAAAGTGCACTGATGGCTCTATATAAAACATTGAAATTAGGGGTTACGTTTAGTGCTCAGCTACATTCGTGTCAATCCAGAGCAAACCCACTGAAGCCGGTAGCTATTCTGGATTGGCACTGGTGCTGCTGAGTGCGGGATGGGGTGTGGAGACTGGAACTCTGGGGAAGCCCGTTGGAAGGGTAACGTAAACCAGTCTAAAAAGCATCAAAGATGCAAACAGCTCACCCAAGAGAGGGTCCATTAAAAGGTGTCGGGGTTGCCCTAAAGGGCCAGCCTTGGTCTTAGTACACGGTTTTGTGCAAGGGCTGTTCACAAGTCTGTATTTCATGTTTTTCATTGCTAGGGAGTGGGTGGGTTTGGGAAAGGCAGGGAGAAGTGGGTTCCCTCTCTGATCCTGCTGGTATCCAGATTGCTGCCTGCAAGTAAATTGCCTATTGTTTCAAACTGCAGTCCTGCTAAGGCTCTTTAGCAGAAGAGATCAATGGCACAGACTGAAGTGATTAGCCAGCCCCAGTCTCACACATTCAAGGATAACTTTATTGACCTTTCAGTTGATGGCAGTGGGGTATGTTTGGCTGGTGTGTACTGTGCTGGGTCTCAAAATTGTTCATGTGACTTTGCTAACAAACAAAGCAAAGAAATTGGCGTCAGTGCAGAAATCACTGGGTGATAGTCTCTGGCCCGTTTTATGCAGGAGGCCGGACGAGATGGTTCCTCCTTATCTTAAAATCTACTGTTATTTTTATTTATTATTTATTTGTATTGTGGTGGTGGCCAAGAGCCCCATCCACTGACCAGGGCCCCCTGGTGGTAGGTGCTGTACAAACAAAAAGATAGTCCCTGCCTGAAAGAGCTTAAAATTTCAGTATAAAACAGACAGCAAGTGGATACAGGGAGGCAGATGGGGGAGCACAAGGAAACAATGTGATGATATGAATATGAATGCAGGTTATTTTCTGAGTGGCAGTGGCTACAGGCCAGATCAAATCTGCTCCTTTCTCTTTCAGAATTCAACCAGACAGTCCAGGGTTCTGGAAATATGACAGACAAAAGCAGTCAGGATCAGCTGCTGTTTCTCTTTCCAGAGTTCAATCAGCAGAACCAGGGCACAGGCCAGCTCGAGGACACCTGCTCTGAAACCCCCAGCAAGAAGATGCGACGGAATCGATTCAAATGGGGGCCTGCCTCGCAGCAAATCTTGTACCAAGCCTACGACCGGCAAAAGAACCCTAGCAAGGAGGAAAGGGAAGCCTTAGTGGAGGAATGTAACAGGTAAAATGGCACTGAGTTGGCTCAAGAGAATATTACTCTCCCCCCAGCTCCATTGTCTCTCAATTAGCTGGAAAGCCTTTGTTTAAAAAAACAACCAAACCAAGGAAGCCCCAAATCCCTATGGTCCTAGGCTTCTAGTTGGTGCTGTTGGAGAGAGGGAATCTGCTATACTTAATAGGAGCCTGGCTCCACGGATAAATGACAATCGAATCCTGGAAAATATGTTCCATCACTTCCCTTCTGCACGATTCTTCAGTGAAGACGCCTGTCAGCATAGTTAATTCACCTCCACGAGAGGTGGTAGCTGTATGGATGGGAAAAGCCTTCCCAGCAACGTAGCGTTGTCTACACCAGGGGTTTGGTCGGTATAACTGAGTCAGTCGGGGTGGGAGGGGATTTCACCCCCCGTGAGTGACACTGTTATACCGAGGTACATTTCCAGTGCAGACCTGGCCTGAGCATAAATTCTTTCCTTCCCCAAAAGAAGATGCGATGGGCCTGAGTTCAAGGTTTGGCTCAGACATTCCCCAAGGATTCTGTGCATGCGCGTGTATTTCTGTTGATTGAAGCTCTGATCCAGAAGAGCAGCCAAACATGTACATAACATTAACATGAGCAACACCACTGCAATCAAGGGGACTATTAAGTGTTTGCCATTGAACTAGGCGCTTACGGCCTCTGCTGGATCAGGGCCCTGTACAGGCCACAGAGTTTGGATCCGAATCCCAGCTCTTTCCAAGTTCAGTGGTATCCACACACAGGGTTTGGGTTTGTGCCCATCCCGAATGCCAAGTTTAGCCTTGTTTAGGGAGGGGTGGAAAAATCAGAACCACGCCCCCCACCAGCCCAACCCTTTGCCCATTTTTACACTCAGCACAAAATCAAACCACTCCTTGGGGTTCTCAAATGCTGAGAATTACTTTTATTTTATTAACTTTTTTATATGCTGCTTTGGACTAATGGATCTTGGCCAGGATTGGAACTGCAGCTGCAAGGTGCAAGCAAGAGCAAGGAGAGGAAGGGTCAACCAGTGCCTTAGACTGGGATTTGGGTTACAGGGGTTCAATTCCCTGTTCTTCCCCCACCCAGAATTCCTGGGTGACCTCGGGCAGGTCACGTCGTCTCTCTGTGCCTCAGTTCCCCATCTGTAAAATAGGGCAGTGCCGTAATCCCATTTCACCGGGGTTTAGTGAGGATAAATACCAAGAGGTGATGGACCAGATAAGTACCCTCCATGGATGGGTGATCTTATAAACACCTACATAAAATGCCTTGCGAAAGAGTGTGATCTAGCTGGTGTGCTGCTGTTTCACCGTGTGGCCTTGGGCAAGTCACCCTTCCCCATTCTGCCTCGGTTTCCCCACCTGTAAAATAGGGGTTTTGCTTCATCACCTACTGTGCAGAGATGTCACGGGGATGCACTCGATATTGTCCATATAGTGCTTTGAACCAGTAAAGGGCCATGGAAATGCGATGTATCATTATGGACTTCATAGCAGCAAGTGACCCATTCCAAAGTGTTCTCTTCATTCCCCACCTAGGGCGGAATGTCTCCAGCGAGGAGTGTCCCCCTCCAAAGCGCACGGGCTGGGATCCAACTTGGTGACGGAGGTTCGCGTCTACAACTGGTTCGCAAACCGACGGAAAGAGGAGGCTTTCCGCCAGAAGCTGGCCATGGATGCCTACAGCACGAGCCAGCCACACAGCATGAACCTCCTGCTGTCCCACAACTCACCCCATCACACGCAGCCCAGCTCTTCGCCCCCCAGCAAAATGGCAGGTAAGTGAGAACCTAACTGTGTGCAAAGGGGAGTAGGAATCGGTTTTTCAAACCGCTTCTTAGCGTATGTGGGGAGGGAAGAGTGATCTTGTGGGAAGCAGGAATCTGGAGATCTAGCTCTGTTGTCTCTGTGAGCTGGAGTGATTTTAGTCTGTTTCCCTTGTCTGTAAAATAGGGCTAGATTCCCTAAGTGACAGGGTGGTGGTTATGTGGCTTGATGCAATATTGTCTGTGAAGAAGAAGGATGAGCTTGTTGTGAAGGCACCAGACTGGGTCTCGGGAGGCGTGGCTTCCATTCTTGGTTCTGTGACAGATTCTCTTTGTGACCTTGGGCAAGTCCCTTTGCCCCTCTGTGCATCAATTCCCTGTTTGTACAATGCAGGGGTGTGGTACTTTGCTTTTCCAAACCTGGACCTGGGGTAGAGTTTAAGGCTTTAATCTGTCTGGTCTATTTAAACTCCTTGAGACAGGGACTGTCTCTCTTAATATGTGTATGTAAAACACCTGATACAATGGGACTCTGATCTTAGCTGGCCCCTCTGGGTGCTACCGTAATACAAACGTGAAGGTGTTGGAGAAGAGCAGTAGATGATGATTACTGATGTTATGTATTGATTGCAAGTTGGATTTCAACAAGGTGGAGCCTCTTTTGATTTTTGCTGGTTTTATGACATTGATTCGATTCCTTACACTAGCCAGAACCAGAAAAGAAGTGTGTGGCTTTCACTGCTTTGGGCATTCACTGGGTGTGCAAGTGAGTTTACTGGGGGAAGAAAGGATGCGGCAGGAAAAGCAACTAAGAAGGATTTGATTGTAAGCTCTTTGGGGCAGGGCCCATCTTTTTGTTCTGTGTTTGTACAGCGCCTAGCACCATGATGCTCCTAGGGTGCTACCATAATGCAAATAAATAGTAGTAGTAATAAGAAGGGTGAAAGATAAAGCAGCCATGTAGTTCCACTTTCAAAACACAGCCCTGTCCTCCACACTGGGGAGTGTAAGCAGATGCAACATTTATGGCGGGGTAGAACGTAGTCCCCATGCAATAGCAAATTGGTGTAAGTCACTCATTTTGCACACCCACTGAACACGAACTGGAGCAAGTTTACATGCTTTCTACCCCTTCGGCCCAATATGTAACTTGCATCCCATTTATTTCATGCCTGAATGTGACCCTAAGAATCATTCCTCTGACCTGTAATGTGAAATCAGTGGGGTTGCATGAGCGTAGTTGGGAGCAAAATTTGTCTCCCTGTTACGTGAAGTGTCCCCTGTAATTCTCCTTCAAACTGCTGCTAAGTCACTCTTTCTGAAATGAGCACTGTCCAAACTTCCGCTGCAGAACCCCCATGCCATGCAAAACTCCCCTGCTTTCGGGCTTTACTTACAAATCCAAGTTTTGACTCACTGAAAGTATTGCTAAGATTCACAAACCCGCGTTGAGTGGAGCCTCCAGGTCTCCACTAAGCTGAGGAGCGAGTTACAATAGTGCATTGGAACTAGGTGAAACTTGGCCAATTTGACTTGAACTTTTTGCACTGAGATTTTGCATTTGCTTCAGGCCTATGCAGGAGGGTTGAGCTAATCCATGAAAGTCTAAACCCCCTGTCACCGCACATGTCTACAAACCCCCACGAGAGAACACTCAAGGATGGGATCTGAGTGGGGTTTGAAAGAGTGGATTGATCAGATACTCAGAAAACAGCAGGATAAGCCACTCAATGTCCGTTCAGCCACCTCAGCATAACAGATCATGAGACGGGGTTGCAATGCACAGAGGCCCTGCTCTTTTCCCCCTGCATCCTGCCCTCCCCCAAACCCAGCAGTCATCTCCCAACCCCATCCAGTGAAGAGCCGTTGACTCCTTTCCCATGGCCAGCAGAGGGATTGGCTGTGCTTTTTTGACACCCAGGCCACCGTGATTGCAGATCGAGGCTCTAGAAGACCTCCTCTGCCTCACTAGCATATCACTCCACCTCGGGGTATCGACGCTTCACCCCCAAAAGGGTGCCTGTCTCTGTCCTTGTCAGGAGGAGACGATGGTCTTGTGGTGAAGATCCCTGGGCTGGGAGTCTGGGAAACCTGGGTTCTTCCCCTTGGTCTCCCTTTGTGACCTTGGGCAAGTCATTTCACTACTCTGTGCCCTGTTTTTCCTCAGCTGGTGTTCACAAACGCTTCTCCTCGCACATGTCCTCGTGAGTTTACGGGCTGGAAGGCACAGGGAGCACATAGGAGAAAATGCAGAATATGGTGATGCAGATACTGTGGGTACAAACTGTGGTGTGTGTGGCTGCTGTGCTGTCAACCAGCCGCACCCCAGACGGAGGCGCATGGGAAGAGATTTTTAAGTCCAGATCTGCTCTCTTGGCAGGCTTGCCAACTTGCTGGCGCAGTTTGGCCCTTTGACAGCGGGGCAGAGCACTGTGCTGGGCTGTGTTGGAATAATGCAGGGGACTGCCTGTGGTGGCAGCTAGTTGGCATAGGCCCACCCCACTGCCTTTCAGAATAGCCCATCCTATGAAAGCTGCGCCTGGAATTTAATGTGTGGTGCGCTTTGTTTCGCTTGAGAGGGCAGGGTGTTACCAGGTGCATGGCTGTTCAGCTCTTCCCTATAGGGTAGCCTCTGCTGAGCTTGCACAATCCGCTGGCATGCTGAAGACTTGGGTGAGGAGCTGTGGCAGGAAGGGATGGTTTGGTCTCCACTCTGGTGTCTGGGTGACAACTTACTTGCAAGGCACAGAATTGTCTTCCTCCTCCCCGCACCAGCCAGAAAAAACAACAGTGTTTTATGGTCTTTTGGTCTGAGCCAGGCTGGCTTGAGGAACTGGGAACTGAGAACTGATTCCACCATGAAAGATCAGTGTAGATGTCTGCATGTGCCCTATTCCTCTGTCCCACACATCTCAGTTAAACTCACTGAAGAGACAGAACTTCTCTCTGTCCAGGTGATTTGTCTGGGATAAAGGCCTCGCTCCATTCTTTCCCCTTTCACAGTTGGATTCGTTTCCATGTTCTTGTTCTTTAATTCATCTGAGATTTGCAACAATGGGGAAGGACCGAAAGCAAATGGACAGAAAATTCTAAATAGATTTAAACCAGAGACAGCATCACTGTGGAGCAGGGAGGGAGGGAGGGGACTCAGAAAAGAACTAGGCTAGAAGAGAGTGGAGGCTAATCAGAGAAGTCCCTAACTTGAGTGAGTGGTGTGGGGCAAGAGGCATTGTTGGGAAAACAATCCCCATTGTCCTTGTACCTGTAATCTACACACCAAAGTCAGCAAGCTCAAGAGGCAAACAAAAGAGGGCAGCTTTCTGACAAGCGCTAGGGTCGCGTGGGGGTCAGTGAGGGGTCAGCGGCTCTCACTGTTGGGTCTTTCTGATGGTTCACTGAACAATACAGCATCCTCCTCTTTTGCTATAAAGAGACAATCAGAGCAATCCCTCCTACCTAAAATCCATGGGGCAGGGGATAAGAGCTGTCAGTGTCTTGGAAATCCCTCCTTAGGTACTGAGTGCTGTGTTATTTATTGTATAGCATCACAGATATACCTGTTGCTTTACAAAGACTAACAAAGACAATCCCTGCCAGAAGAGCTGCCAGTCTAAGGGAAGACAAGAGGAGGATGAGGGCAAAGAAGTGCTTACTTTGTGCCAGGGCTTGCTAGGGCTTGAGCCCCGGCACTTCTAGGCTTGGCAGTGCATAGCCCTGGCACCTCTGGGCTTGCCACATCAGTTATGAATGTAAAAATATCGCTTGAGCCCCAGCATTGAATTGCTTGAGCCCTGGCACCTCTTTTAGTACAAATTAAGCACTGGGGCAAAGAGAAAAGAACAATGCTTTCTGTCCAGGTTACTTGTTATACCCATTCGTGAGACATGGTCCCTGACCTTACGGAGCTTACAGTCTAACTTGGATAACTTCACTTTTGAATAAGAACTGTCTCTCTAGCAAGGGAATGAACAAATGGGGCATATTTTCCCACACACCCACCCCCATCCACTGGAGCCCCATTGCTGACCTTCAGACAAAGCTACTTAACTCCTGGCGACAGGGGGAGGTAAGATTTGGCACATGCTTGTAGTACTGATAAGGGTGGCAGTCTTGGATGGTCTCACCCTTCCATGCTACTCAAAGCAGCATCATGTGGGATTTTCTGCTTTTCCTGAGCCCAGCCACAACCCCTCCAGATGAGTGGTTGCTCAGCTGGAGGGACTTCCATGGGCTTGGTGGGGAAAGAGGAGAAGCTGGATTCATGGGCTCCCTCCATCCACTGTATGGGTTTTCTTTATTTTTTTTCCAGAACACACAGCCTTGTTTTCTATTCCTGTTCTCTGCATCACTCTTTGCAGGGACCCTAGGCCTGTTCTCTGCATCACTGTTTGCAGGGACCCTAGGCCTGTTCTCTGCATCACTCTTTGCAGGGACCCTAGGCCTGTTCTCTGCATCACTGTTTGCAGGGACCCTAGGCCTGTTCTCTGCATCACTCTTTGCAGGGACCCTAGGCCTCGTGCTTGCATGAATTGATGCTGGTTAACTATGTGGAATGTCCACTTTTTGTGCTGAGCCGCCTGTGATGTGTTCCCAGGAGTCCACGGACATGGAAGTGGGTTACCCGTGGAACTTTAACCTATGCTACAAATTAACGTGTTGTTATCAGGTCAGTCGCTTCAGTCAGACAGCAGGTGATCACTTTGGGCATCAGTATTAACATGAGTGAGCGACTGGTTTTAATGCCACATTTGCGCATCTCTGCTGGGATGCTGCAATTAATCATCTGGACTTGAGAGAGTCAGCAAGGGAACAAAAAGTCAGAGAGGGCTGGGGGAAGACAGAAGGCAAATCTCACAGAGGGGCTAAGGTGGGATGTTTGAACTAGGAAATCACAGGGCCTGTTTGGGCCCCTCCTGTTAAATGCTCAATAACGCAGCTCCCTGATGTATCTCTCTGGTACCTATCACTTAACGATCTGCCCTCATTCAGAGCAGGCACCTAGGGTAATGAAC